GAGCCGGACGTGGGGCTCGATCCCAGGACCCTGGGATCATGACCTGAGCCGAAGGCAGCCGCTTAACCGACTGAGCCATCCAGGAGCCCCGAGATTTTGTTTTTAAACACCACAGTATAAAAGACCCCGTATTTCCCTGAAGACTACATGAAGGACCTCAGCCTTTATGCAACCCAGAGCATAATTCAGTGTCTGACCTGAACACGGCGGAACTACGCTCAGGACCCAGGCTGGTTTCTCCTTCTGTGAGGACACCATTACCAGCCATCCCGCACTTCTATAATAACACCAAAAGTATACCTGTCTTCTCTCTTTTTCCCCCCCGTCTGAGGAAAATAATACCTCAGAGTGCCTCAGTTCCACTCTAATCTGTACACATGATTAAAAAATGAGATCTTAAAAGCAATATGGCACATTATGGTGTCAGCCCATCTGAAAAGAAAAAACAAAACAAGAGATGTGTCACTTTTGCTGTGGTTGCCAAGAGAGAATAATAAGTTGTTGGTACAATTTCCAAACTCCAACAGTAATTATTTAGACAGGAATTTATATTCATAAAACATCTCTAAGAGTAGACGGTGGTATTTTTATGGGCTTCATCTAAAAGTCCCCCTTTTATTCTCTTTGAGACCAAACCACAGGAAATAATAGTATGCTTCCACGCTCTTAGAGAGTCATTTTAGACCAAAATGAAGACTGGCTGAACACTAATAGCAGGGCCAGAGAAACTGGAAGCAGAAATCCACGTGTATTAGAGCGAAGATCTGTGGCGACAGTTTGAAAGAAAAATGGAGAAATGTTAGGGTAATGTGCATATTAGGGTGGGCTCAGCTCTCAGCCTTTCCAGGGATTAAAAACAATGAGGGTTCTCTGTTTGTTTAGACAGAATGACATTCATGAAATGACTTTTTATCCACTCCCCAGACTTCAGCAGAAGATATTTTCCTTTTGTGCACGGAGCATGACCAATACTTCCCCCTTCTCTGGGGTACCAGAGCTGCCATCAGAACATATTTCACAAAAATATGAACTGGCCAAGAATATCACAAACAGAAACGTGGTGACCGCTTCCTTTTAGAGATAAGAATTTCCTTTTGCTTAATCCATTCACAAGGTGCCCAGCTTCCTAAGGCAAACTGGCAAGCTCCAGAAAAAACAAAATGAACCTCAAAAAAGCAGTAAGTGTGTGGGGGGAGGGGAGCAGTGGAAGAGGGTGGTGTCGTGACAACCAGGCTATACTTTTCAGTAATTAAAAAAAGTCTGGAAGGATGGATGAGAACAGGAAGGCTTACTTATGCCTTAATAAGGGAACATTAGTGTCCAAAGGGCCAGGGCAGATATGATTTATGTGCAATCTGCATGAACTGATTACTTGTAAAATCCTCTGTAGTTCTGCAGATAGAACAGCTGATATATACAGAGGCTGCATATTTAACTACTAAAAAGCAAGCCGAGTGGCATCTGCTAAGGCTAAGCAGAAGAGAAGCGGACAGGAAGGCTCCTGTGTACTGGGGAACAGGTGACCTGGCCAGATGAGCACTGTTACCACCAGAACAGAACTGGAAATAACCCAGAGATTCACCAAGTAAGTCACTTGCACACCCAGTTCCCTAAGACTGAGTGTTTGGGGCCCTCAAAAAAAGAAACCTCTCCCTCAAAAATCCTCCCATTCTTGGGGCACCTGGGTGGCTCAGTCGTTAAGCGTCTGCCTTCGGCTCAGGTCATGATCTCAGGGTCCTGGGATCGAGCCCCGCATCGGGCCCCCTGCTCGGCGGGAAGCTTGCTTCCCTCTCCCACTCCCCCTGCTTGTGTTCCCTCTCTCGCTGTCTCTAGCTCTCTGTCAAATAAATAAATAAATAAAATCTTTAAAAAAAAAAAATCCTCCCATTCTTGTTATCCTATTAGGGAAATTCTAGCATTAGAGACTCATTCCTTTGAAATCAGAATCACTCTCCCTCAGGATCTCCTTTGAAACCACAAATAATCTCTACAGGAAGGGCAATGAATGAAGCTTATGGTAGCCACTAACACTTTAGTATGATTTAATATCTTCTATAAAGGATAGGTTCCCTGACAACGGAGAAAAAAGGAGAGGAGTATCAGGATGAGTAAAAAGACTCAAAAAAAAGTTAAGGAGGTGGGAGAAGTTGGGGGATGGCATACCAAGAAGCATCAGAAAAGCTCTCCCAATTTATAACCTGGAGTTTAAAGTTTCAGATTGTCCCAAACTTGAGGTCTCTGCCCAAGTTCACCCCAAAGGGCACTGTTCTTGTCTCCCAGGACACGACAAGGTTCTGGGTAAGTCATGCATATGATCTGACACAGAAAAAAGAAAACAGTACCAGCAGCTAGCAGCAAAACTGTAGTATCAGTGAATCCTCAAGATCTCAAACTCAGGGCGCCTGGGTGGCTCAGTTGGTTAAGCGACTGCCTTCGGCTCAGGTCATGATCCTGGAGTCCCTGGATCGAGTCCCGCATCGGGCTCCCTGCTCGGCAGGGAGTCTGCTTCTCCCTCTGACCCTCCTCCCTCTCATGCTGTCTCTCATTCTCTCTGTCTCAAATAAATAAATAAAATCTTTAAAAAAAAAAAAAAAAGATCTCAAACTCAGGGATTCATTTCTTTGGAATACGTGCAACCCTGGTTAAGCAACTGCTTTTATAGCACGACTCTCTCTAGGAAGGCAAACATATGAAGCAGTTGTGAGCCAATAAAACCTCAGCATGAGGGGTGCCTGGGTGGCTCAGTCAGGTAAGCGGCTGCCTTCAGATCAGGTCATGATCCCAGGGTCCTGGGATCGAGTCCCACATGAGCCTCCCTGCTCCGTGGGGAGCCTGCCTCTCCCTCTGCCTGCTCCCCCTGCTCATGCTCTCTCTCTGTCAAATAAATAAATAAATAAATAAATAAATAAATAAATAAAATCTTAAAAAAAAACCTTAGCATGAGTCTGTTCCTCTTATTCTTTTGTGGTGAGGGCCCTACCTTACTCACTCCTGGCACACCTGTGTTCCTTTTAGTTCCTTCCTGCGTTCTTCTACCAACCCCCACCCCTGTCAAAAAGTAAAGATTTTCATATCATTCTGAAAATAGCTATTGCAGTCCCTACTGTGCTCAAACAAGAAAGACCTAGCTTACAAAAGGGGGAAAAATAAGATAGAACGGTACCTAACATTACTGTTTACTATGTGAGGTTCCCAGGCTCATGCTAGAATCCCACTAGAAACTTGGCGCAAGGGATGGGTATGGGCCTTTGAGGGCAATGAGAGGTGGGAGGTAGAGGTAAGAGGAGAGGGCACGGCTTTTCCTGATGCAGGCATTTGGTTCACATTCCCTCAGACATTCAGGGAGTGTTTGTCTCAGGGGAAGCACATCTCCCTCAGGAGTCAAGGCCTCTAGTAGGGCAGAAGGTAAATGGTAAGGATAATGGTTTTGAAATATGCCTCCCAAATCCTTTGACACTCCTGCCATTGAAAGGTGGTGTCTACATCACCTCCCCTGAGTCTGGGCTCCATGGTTGCCTGACCAATACAATACAGAGGAATGACACAGTGCCAGCTTCTGGACCTGGACCTTAAGAAATCAGGAGCACCGACTTCTTGATCCTTGAGATGCCTGTTCTTGGACCCCAGCCACCATGCCATGAGGAAGCCCAAGCAGCCCCAAAGGGAGGCCCATGTGGACAGGAACCGACAGCCAGCACCAACTTGCCAGCCATCTTGCCGGTGAGCCATCTTGGAAATTGAGCCTCTGCCTCAGTCAAGACACTGACACCATGTGAGGCAGAGACAAGCTGTTTCCACCAAACCCTGCCAAAACTGCAGATCCCTGAGCAAAATACACCATTGTTTGTTTTAAGCCTCTAAGTTTTGGCACGATTCATCGTGCAGTATGTAACTCATTCACCAAGTTTGTTCAAAATGACCATGGCCTGCTGCCTCCTCAGGAGAACACCAGCCGAGATTGCCTACATTTAGGGACCCTGGTTTAGCCATTCACCCTCTGAATGGCACTTTGGCTGTTTCCAGTTGATTATGAATAAAGTGGCTATAAACACTCACACAGAGGCTTTTATGAGGACATAAGTTTTCATTTCTCTAGGGTAACACCTGGGAGTAGGATTGCTAGGCTGTGTGGTAAGTGCAGGGGTCCTGTTCAACGCATGAGGCTTCTCTTTCCACATTCACGGTGGCCAGATGCTGACTGCAGGAGAGGCATGGCGGAAGGTGAGACCCTTCGAGAGACTGACCGATTAGCCCCTCCACCTCCTGCTCACTCTGCGGCATCAGCTCCCTGGGCAGAATCAGGAGAGCGGTGCTATTCATGACTCCTTCTCCTTTCGCTGTTGTCTGTTTCTATAAAGGACACATGCTAAAAATCACTTGTGTGTGATCAGATTCTCCCGGTGCTTTATCTATGGTCCATCCAACCCCCACAGCTCTGCCCTTCCATATTCCCACAGTCACCCCACCCTGACACCTAATGTAAATCAAGTTACTTGTTTTATGTGTGAGTGGATCACTGGATCAGCTTTGATTATCTGACAGTTGTACAGGAGGCTTTTCTCTTTTGTTTCTACCCCTGTCTTCCCAGAATACATCCCAGCACCCATATGTATGCGTCTCTCTAGCATCAAGGGACCAAGAAAAACCTTCCAAGATTTCTTCAAAGGTAAAAGCAAAAAGAGGAGGTGTTTCCCCATTCCTGTGGCGAGACAGTGGGGAAAGAGCCAAAATAAACATACAGTTCTCTAGCAGAAATCAGCCAGAAGTAAT